GAAGTGGATATCGTCCTCTTTTGGAAGACCAAACAAAGTAGTTTCGCTTTCACAACGAAGCACACAGCATCTTCAGGACATAGCGGAAAGCGGCAACAATACTACAGTGAGAATACAAGTTACGCCTTCTTTCTTTTGCGTGAACATTTGGGCGGCGTTATGCAAATCTTCCCACATAGCGACGTAGATATGTGGGGGCGTGTTAGAACGAGCCGTTTTAGGTAGGCGTGGCTGACTCTTAACTTTTATAAAGAATATCTCTTTGGATTTGAGACTTTAGTCTTTGCAACTTTACAGATCTTCTTTATGCACCAAGAGCTTGTAACACTCCAAAGAGAAAGGAAAAATTTAAATCGCATCATATGACCCCTTTAACACCCTACTGGGGGAATGCGAATACTGTAACAGTTGATCATGTACTACTTTGTTGTATAAAACACAACTGTGAGAGGATTCAAGGATTCAAAGCGTCTATTGTCATATGCCCAGTGAGGAAAACAAGTTTCCCTGAGCAATGAAATTCTTACTTTGCTGTCCACAATGAATGCCAAGACAGTGCAAAACTATACACACACATACACAAACTATACACACATACATACACAATGTAAGAAACATAATAATAAAAACTATGCTGCAGTAGTAGGAATATAGACTATGAAAAAATAGAAATATAGACTGTGTGTATCTATATATGCGAGTATAGAGTAGAAATATAGAATGTGAAAATAGAAATATAGACTATGTATATAGTATATATAGGCGAATGTACAGTATTAACTTATGTGCAAAAAACAATAGTGCAGTAACATGTGCAAATTGAGTGCAACTACATGATAACAATAGCAACAGTAACAGACGTGCAAATTGAGATGAGGCTACATGAGTAATATTAACAAATATACAATGGTAGTAATAACAGCAATAACATTACAAATGTTCAATTGAGATGAAACTATTTGGACCGACTGTTCTCTGAGATAGATAAGTCCACTAGCTAGCTACCTGTTTAAGAGTCTAATAGCTGAGGGGATGAAGGAGTTCCTTAATCTGGAAGTCCTGCAATTTACACTCCTGTACCTCCGTCCTGAGGGTAGGAGTGTGAACAGTGTGTTGGGGGTGGGTGGGGTCTTTAATGATGGATTTAGAGATGTCACCTTATTCAGTCATTGAAGAAAGTCAAAAACATAGGTAAATACAGTCTATGGTAAAACACCATGATTTTACTTTATCAGGTTTATTAGGGAAAACAGCTAATAAGATGATGATATTATTATTACATTTGTAAAAGAAACTAAATTATATAAAATAATATAGTCTTTTTGAGTGTATGGTATTTGTTTTGTTTTAATTTCTAGTTTGTTTATTTGTTTTGCTTGGTTTTGTTTTATTTTGTCTTACAAGTAAAATCCTGATCCATTAGGACTCCATTCCAGACGGTGGCGCTAACAACAACAACATTTTTAAGGTTTTAATAAAATAGTCAAGTGAAATAAATAGTAAAGTCTAATTTGATTTTATTAAAGAGACGGGACTTATAAATAGAATATAAAACTCTGTTCCACACTCCGGAGCTGAAGGTGGCGGTAATGCACCTATTTACGTTGGTTGCCAGCCGCCGTTCAAAACCAAGGAGAAGAAGAAGAACAAAAACCCTTTTAGGCGCGGGAGGGCGAAGGTTACGTTTACAAACAAAATGGCTGAAGACATGCAGAAAAAGGATAGTTCTGTTGCTGATTTTTTTTAACGCTTTACAGTCATTTCACAAATTAAACGTAACAAGATGGACTACAGCTATGTTTGAGCAAACGATAACTTGTCTTTAGTATTTCAAACAACTAGAACTTAAGGATTTAATGAAACGGAACCTGTTAAAGAGGGTTTGAGTGAATAAACTGAAGAGCAGCATGAACCGCAAGAAAGACAAGGGCTTTGAGAGCCCACGACCATATAAACTATAAGTATCACATACACTATTCTCACAGCATGCATGAATATGATTGCAGTTGTGTTTACTTGCCAAATCAGGATAGAATATTAAAATCATAATTTGCCGTCGCGTGAATTTAACACTACTGTTTGTTTATCTTTTTACAACCCATCAGGTAGTCTGCATCAACAACATCAATTTTCAGAGAAAGTCTGTCATTGTGAGTAGTCATTTATATTCTGATTCTATGTAGATTCTGAACATGATGTGTGTATATGAAGCAGAAAATGGGAAATAGGCAGATTTTTAATATGCAGTATGTTGAAAAATTAAAACGTGTGAAGTTTGAGACAAGACTTTAAAAAAACTTTATTTAAAATGATTATGTAATACTGAACAGATTATAATACAGTCTGATCATTATAAATGTCATGAAGCTTCATTTTCTTTAACTATTAACAAATGTTGATCAAATGTTAAAATATATTTTGATTATGGCATTGATAAATGTGCCAGAATTATTAATATATACAGTAGTCAACATTTGAAGTGGATCAAAAAAGTTCATCAAAGTTGTCCTAAGACAAGAATGCATTTTGGTTTTTGGACAACTTTGATGAAAGTTTTTGATACACTTCAAATGTTGACGTGTGTGTGTGTGTGTATATATATATATATATATATATATATAAACATTCATTCTCTATGAATAGGGTTATGTGGAGCTGACCATCTTTCCAACAGTGATGAACCTGAACCGTATTAAATTGAATAGCAAGCAGTGCCGTATCTACAGGGTGAGAGTGAATGATCTTGAGGCTCCATTCATTTACAACGACCCTACACTGGAGGTCTGCCATCATGAATCCAAGCAGTAAGCTCAGTTGATGAACTTTCTATTTGGCAAGAAATGGACACTAAGTTATATTCAATGAGAGGAATCTTTGTTTCAAATAAAAAACAAAACAAAATGTAAACACAAACCGTTAACAAATGTTTTTGAGATTTAATTCCAAAATTAAAAAAAGAAGAATTTTAGGTCCTTTATGCATTATTTTCATGTTTACGTTTTCACATTCATTTTTGCATTCTTATTTTAATTATTGTGGAGTGAAATATGACCCACACGGTTCTTTTTTAAATTCACCTGTGTATCCGTCATCTGTCAGTATTTAATTTCTCATTAGTAGTAATGTTTTGGAAATCAGGTCTGCTCTTGTCTTCATCTTGCTACATATTTTCTCTGTATCACTGTGTGGTTAACAGGAGGAACCTGAACTATTTCTCCAGTGCTTACACAGCAGCTGTTAGTGCTGTAGATCCAGATGCTGGAAATGGGGAACTTTCCATTAAAGTTCCTTCTGAGCTCTGGAAACAAGGAGATGGTGAGTAGATCAAGCGATATGAAGTTTTAAAGTCGGCATGAAATCAAAATGGACAATTCTTATTTTTTGATGGAATACTGTAGTGTTTATTATAAATAATTTATCCGTGCACTTCATTATTTTGTTAAAATTCATGTGCCCTTGTAATCTTTAATCAAAAACGTTAACCTACCCTCCCCCTCAAAACGACTCCTCTACTCTTCCGGGCAAGAGCTATGGCGCAAGGGCTGAGCTATCTGGAACTGCCAACAGCTGCAGTGACACAAGGCGGGCGTACACGGTGAGATTTTTGCTGTCGTACGAGCTCGCAGGCGATTTTTTTTGCTCGCATGGTCGCAGCTCGTACCGTGTGAGAAGAGTTACGGGCCGATCCGAGAAGTTACGAGCACCTCCCGTCCTCCCGATAATTTTCAAACATGTCAAAAAAAATCGGATGCTGTCGGTTTAAATTCGTGGCGTATTTGCAGTTGAACGAGATGATTTGGCGATCCATCTGAAGTTGACCAATCGGAAGATGACAAACCATATTCTATAATCATTTTAGTTTAATTGTACAGTTCTATTTTTTATTTGTTATTCCGAATGTGCCAAATTTGCCGGATAAATTCAATCGTGACATGTGCCGGAGCTCACGACGTTCCGACCTTCAGAATCGCACCGTGTATGCCTGCCTTTAGTGATGTTTGGGGGGAAAAGCTGTTGCTTCACTTTAGTTTATAGCACTGAACACCAGTCATGAGGGAGTACGTTACCCTTAAACATTGAAAAGATATCAGGTTATCAGAGACAAGATTGTAGATCTGCACAAGGCTTCAATGGGCTTCAAGACCATCAGCAAGAAGCTTGGTGAGAAGGAGACAACTGTTGGTGCGATTATTCGGAAATGGAAGAAATACAAAACCATCAATCGGCCTCGGTCTAGAGCTCCGTGCAAGATCTTGCTTCATGGGGTAAAGATGATCACGAGAAAGGTGAGGGATCAGCTCCGAACTACACAAGAGGAGCTTGTTAATGATCTTAAGGCAGTTGGGACCACAGTCACCAAGCAAACCATTGGTATCACAAAATGGACTGAAATCCTGTAGCGCCCGCAAGGTCCCACTGCTCAAGAAGGCACATGTACAGGCCCGTTTAAAGTTTGCCAATGAACATCTAAATGATTCAGAGAAGGCTTGGGAGAAAGAGCTGTGGTCAGATGAGACCAAAATTGAGCTCTTTGGCATCAACTCGGCTCTCCGTGTTTGGAGGGAGAGAAATGCTGACTATGACCCCAAGAACACCATCTCTACAGTCAAGCACAGAGGTGGAAACATTATGCTTTGGGGCTGTTTTTCTGCTAAGGCTACAGGCCGACTTCACCGCATTGAGAGGCAAATGGACGGGTCCATGTACTGTAAAATCTTGGACAAGAACCTCCTTCCCTCAGCCAGAACACTGAAGATGGGTCATAGATAAGTCTTCAAGGATTACAATGACCCAAAACATACCGCCAAGACAACAAAAGGAGTGACTCAAGAAGAAGCACATTAAGGTCATGGAGTGGCCTAGCCAGTCTTCAGACCTCAATCCTATAGAAAATCTGTGGAGGGAGCTGAAACTTTGTGTTGCCAAGAAACCTTAAGGATTTAGAGAGGATCTGTAAAGAGGAGTGGATCAGAATCCCTCCTGAGATGTGTGCAAACCTGGTGACCAACTACAAAAAAAGTCTTACCTCTGTGCTTGCCAACAAGGGTTTCTGCACCAAGTACTAAGTCATGTTTTGCTTGGGGATCAAATACTTATTTCACTCACTGAAATGCAAATAAATTTCTAACCTTTATATTATGTTTTTTCTGGATTTTTTGGTTGGTATTCTGTCTCTATACGTTAAAATAAACCTACCATAAAAATGACAGACCCTTAATTTTTTTGTAAGTGGGCAAACTTACAAAATCAACAGGGGATCAAATAAATATTTTCTCCACTGTAGTAGCAAGTTTATTAGACTATACTACATCTTGCAAAGACTAAGTAATAAAGTTGACCATTCATGCCAAGTAACACACAGCCTCACTGTGAGCACTCTCTAAAGTTGAGATGGAAGGGAAGAAGCGACAGATCCTTTCTTTCATAATGTCAGGTACACCCGGGTTTAACTGACTATCGAAAAAAAAAAAAATGTAGGTTGGGACTTGGGCTGTGTTCCAGTCCGTTTTTTTATGCCCTTCACTCGCAGACTTCCCTCCGTCTTGTTTACTCGGATGTACGTCATTGATTATGTTGCATGATTGCCCACTACTGGTGGAACCCTTGGAATGGGCTTAATTGTAACCGTCCTAAGCCCTTGATCACTTAGAATCCGCTGTGGAGTTGTTTTATTGTTTACAATGACGTCTCAATTAGTGGTTCAACGGATCACAAATCTCTACGGTTCAGATCACATTACGGTTTTTGACCCACGGATCGGATCATTTTTCAGATCAACAAGAAAATAAAAATATTTCAATTTAACTTGCTTTCCATTTATTACTTAAAGCGAAGTACTTCTTTGATACCACAGCAAATATTACTAGATTAAGTAAGAAAGTTTAAGCATGATTAATGAGACAAGAGAACAGCCAGTAAAAATAAGAACAAATACACAGATTACAAGCATAGATAAATACAATAGAATGTTACAATTAAAATAAGGTTGGTAGTATTCAAATACAGAAATGTAATAATTAGGGAAAATAACACTGCATAGTGTTCACTGTATAAATTAAATATAGATTTTTATCACAGCTGTTTTGTTGTTTGATGATCATTAATGACAGCAGCAGTATTTATAGGCCGCTGTCCCTTTAAGACCTGATGCACGGATCCGATATAATGATACACATCACATCCGATTTCTTTCTCAGCTGTTTTCATTCACTTGAGACATAACTGACTGCGTTTACCTGAATGATTGTCAAGATGGGTATTTTGTCATAATTTTATGTGTATGTGTCTTTCCAGAGGATTCAGTTCGGTGTTCGCGCGAGTAATGAATCGAGTTCCCTTTCGCCTTTTCTCTCTGGAGTTGTTTAAAATTCACTTGCTTGTGTAAATACGAACAAATGATAAACTTATACTCTATTATGGTTCAATTTTGCAATCGTGTTGCATTGTGGTCTGTGGAGTGGCCTGAAGTGTGCATATGAAGCAGACTTGCTCCCTCGGTCAAAATCGAGGGGTCGAGGGTCTGTCCATATAAACTTCCCTCGTCCACTTCACAAAGTGAAACGCACTTCAAAATGGCATCGGGGCTTCTGGTGCTTCTGTCACCAGAGAGAAGTCTGTCGTTTTCACTGGAAGATGCAAAAAATGGTACCGTTTATTTTTTCAATTGAAAGAAAGTTAATAATCTGATACCAAAGTGCTGGTGCTTTTGATGTCACAAGTACTCACTATGCCTCTTAAAAATGCATCAAAAAAGGTCTGATCTGAAGGTTTTTGATCAGTCAGTTTTAAAACAGACTTTTATTCAGTAATAATAATCATAATAATAATCTGTGCTGTTGTGTGTGTGTGCAGAGATGAAAGTTATGAAGGTGTACATTGAATTTTCATTGGACCAGCCGAAGGGGGGGTTACATTTTGTAGTACCTGATGTGGAAGGAAGTATGGCAGAAAGAGCAGCCCATGTTTTCTCCTTTGGCAACCAGAATTCCACACGGTAAGCTGCATACATTCACATGCATGAAATGGAAGATAATCGAGACAGTGGTTATGGTTAAAATTTAGTCTGCCATCACAAAGATTACTGAATTAAGGTGATTCAGGAAAGTTATTACAGATTACAATCCTGTTTCAGCATTATTTATCAATTTATTATTATTTTTTTGATTAATTTATTATTAATAATAATAATAATAATTTATTAATATTATTAATTTAATTATTATAATATGTGTACATCTGTCTGTATGAGTATAATACCAATTTATTGATTGTTGTTATTTCCAATACTGATTATTATTGTTTCCAAATCTTCTCCACTAGGTTCTGGTTTCCATGTGTAGACTCATACTCTGAGCTGTGCACATGGAAGCTGGAGTTCACAGTGGATGCCTCCATGGTGGCAGTGTCCTGTGGGGATCTAGTGGAAACAGTCTACACCCATGACATGCGCAAGAAAACCTTTCACTACATGCTGCCCATCCCCACTGCAGCACCTAACATTTCCCTGGCTGTGGGGCCCTTTGAGATTCTTGTGGACCCCTACATGCATGAGGTGAGAGAAAATGTGATGTATTGTAATTTTTTGTTTTAAATTTGTAGTTTGGAGATGTTCATACAACGAAAAAATTTGACTAGTAGGGTACATAGCATGGGTCATTAAAAAGTATTAAAAGGTACTGTAAATTAATATTTTTTGTTGAAAGTAGGTATTTTTTTGTCTGGCCATTTCCTTCCTTAGGTCTAGGGTTACACAATTAATCAATATAAAATTGGAATTATTGAATCAGAAAAGTGTGATTTAACCAATTAAATATAGTGGTTGTGTTGTTGTGTGCGTGTTTCAAGATAAAACTATTCATTATTTACTGTGACTTGCTATCTTTATATATTAGAGTGCAATGGTGGACAAAACATTGAATTGGAGACATGTTATTAACATTGTTATTATTGTTGTCGTAGCACTTTAGATTAGGGAACACATTTACTATTTACTAAAGAGTTTTACGTCAATAAAATTAATTAATTTGCTGCCTTTTGGTTATGAGTAAGGTAGTTGTTTGTAGCAGTTATGTTTAGGTATTGGGCAGGGTTAAGATATCTAGAATATGGTCATGAAGCTTGTGCTTTAAGTAGGGTAAACATACCTATTAAGCTCACTTAAAATCTGCATTGAGACATTTTTAGTGAACAAGATATTAGGGATGTAACGATTAACCGCGAGCAGGTTGAAAATCGATTTAAATATGTGACGATTCAAATCGGTTGAGATGCTAAACAAATCGCCATTCAGTTAGGGGCAGGAGTTTATGAATATATGTCTGAGGGGAACTTACTGTCTTTCGATTGTATTTTTTCTTTTCCTCTTGCTTCTGTATAATGCATATCAGGGCTCCAGACTAATTCTTCCCACTGGTCGCTCTTTTGCAAATAACTTTCTCAGCTGGTCGCACGAGCACATGATTTGGTCGCAATATTTAAAAAAAAAAATTTGCGATCGTGAATCGAATCGTGAGTTGAGTGAATCGTTACATACCTACAAGATATTGGTTTCAGTACAAAAAGTTATGTTAAAATAAAAGAATCTCTCACACAAAAAGATTACATTTTATTTTAAATGACAAAAGCATTTCAATTAAGATATACATTATTAAATGCAAAAAGTCTGGCGATGCTTAATGGGTACATGTTTGTACCCTTTGAGCACACTCCTGTTCCCATTAAGCTCACATCATGTTTTATTAAAAATTCTTGTTTATTTTAAACAACCTTTTTAAAGAATAATTGAAAAATATATATTTTTGAAGGTACAAAGTCAATCACAAAAAAACAACACAAAAATCAAGCAACAGGGCATTCAGTTTGATCAGTTATATATTCATAGTGAAGTGTCATTTAAGCACATTGCAACATCTAGACTAGTCCATGTTCAGCTAAGTAACACAAATTCAAAAATCAAATAAAACAAACCAATAAAACATTTCATTCACGGGGATGAACACAGAAACTAGCCTCTTATTAAAGGGATGTCAACTTATCTGTAGTCTCTTAAGGCTGGAATATACTACACGATTTTTGCCCCGATTTCCACTGATTTACAGTATGGAGAAGTTCACAGTAGTTGCCAAAGAGCTAGTCTGTAGATTTGAGTTGACAGATTCCATGGAAAATCAATTAACTTAACTTAAAATGACAACCATCAGTTAATATTTAAAGTCTGTTTATGAAGTATTTACATAGACGCTCAATGTGGAAGAGCTTAAAGAGAGCATACTGAGCTTAATGGGAGCAGAAACTATTTTTTATGACAAGATATAAATAATCTAGGTCATGTACTAAGTTCATACATATTTTATCATGAACAACTACTATTAACTATATCTATATATCTAT